GTCAGGACGGACAGTACGGCGGCGGTGGCGTATATCAGCCGTATATGGGGTATGCGCTCTCGCCGCATGTCTCAGCTCGCCCGCCGTCTGCTCCTCTGGAGTCATCCGTGGCTGAAATCGCTGCACGCCATTCATATTCAGGCAAGCTCAACCGTGCAGCCGATGCGCTCTCACGGCAGCCTTGCGTCCTGGAGAATGGAGACTCCACCCCGAGTCTGTTCAGCTGATATGGGCGCGATTCGGGGAAGCCCAGATCGATCTGTTGCTTCCCCCGAGATCGCTCATTGCTAGTTGTTCTTTCCCTGACCGAGTGCTCTCGGCACGGATGCACTGGCTTACAGCTGGCCTCGGGGCACGCGCAAATACGCGTTTCCCCCAGTGAGCCTGCTCGCGCAGTTACTGTGCAAGGTCAGGAAGAGGACGAGGAACAGGTTGCTGGTTGCGCCCCTCTGGCTCAACCGGACCTGGATGTCAGAGCTCTCCCTCGCGATAGCCCTCCCCTGGCAGTCCCTTCGAGAGAGCACCTACTCTCTCAGGGACAGGGCACCACCTGGCACCCTCGCCGATCTTTGAAGAGATTTTAGACGCGAGGAAGACTTAGGTAACCTCCGATTGCGGTGGCTAATACCGTCACTCGGGCTAGAGCCCCCTCCCCGAGCGCGCCTATGCCCTGACGTGGAGTCTATTCACTGAATGGTGTGTCTCTCGCTGAGAAGACCCCCGTAATTTGCCAGATCAGCGTTGTGCTTCCTTTACGCCGAGAGAAGCTGGAGAGCAGGCTGTCGCCCTCCACACTCAAGGTTACGTGGCTGCCATCTCCGCTCTCATAACGCGGTGGCTGGCAGCACCGTGGGAACGCATAACCTCATCATCCGGTTCCTCAGGGGCGTTAAGCGAATTAATCCATCCCGCCCCCTCTCATGCCCTCTTAGGATCTCGCCCTCGCTACACAAGCCGCGTCAGATCCCTTCGATCCTCGACTCAGTATCTTTCTGTCCCTGAAGACAGCTCTGCTGGTCGCGTTGATATCGATTAGAGGGTCGGGGACCCGGAGGCATTTTTCGGTCAGTGACTCGTGCCTGTAATTGGGCTGGCTTCTCTCACGTCCTGAGACCCCGCCCGCGATATGTGCCCAAGGTTCCTACCACTCCGTTTTAATACGAGGTAGTGAGCCTGCAAGCGCTGCCCTCGGAGGAGGCAGACCCAGCCCTTCTTTATTGTCCAGTTCGCGTTTTGCGTATTATCCGGACCGCACTCAGAGTAGATCATCTAAGCAGCTCTTCGTCTGTTATAACGGTCGGCAGCAGGGAAGTGCCGTACCGAAATAAGTTCCCACTAGATTGTGGATGCCTTTCTTTCACTATCAGAGCCGAGATAAGCCGCGTCCCCCGAGAGCGCGTGCGCACTCCACTCGGAGTTTCGCATCCTCTCGAGCGCGCGCACGCGGCGCCCCTCTAACAGACTTCTGTAGAGCTGCGGGCTGGGTGACACCCAACACATTTGCAAGGTTTTACAATCTGCGAGTGGAGCCGGTTTCCTCAAGGGTATTAGGTAACCCTTGGTGATTGAGGAAACAATTCGGTAGGGTGTTGAAACACGCTTGCTGCGCCATTTTCCCTAACACGGAGATACGTGCGCCTTTTTATCTGTCAGTAAAGTTCCCCGTCAGGTGAGCCCTGCAGATTCCTCCATGGCCCCCAGCACTGACTCAGCGGAGGAGTCACTTGCTGGCCCACTACGTTGTAGGTCTGCCCGCTGGTCAGCCCGCGTTTTGGGTAAAGGTGCCTGCTATGCGTGGTCCCCACTAGGCGATCCCATATGCTTATTCCGCCACGGTTAAGTCCCCCCCCTGGGCGGACCCGTGTCTTCCCTCCCCGCTAACCACTCTTTTGCTATGCGTACTCCCCCTTTTTAGGGCTAGTCCATATGTAAATTCTGCCATCTATCCCCCCTTGGGTAACGGATGGCCTCCGCAGCGTCCTCCCTATCGGGATTGCACGCTTCCCAACGTACTGTCGTATTTTCCTAGAATTATCTAGATGCTCACGACTTCCCAAAAATTATATCTAAATCCGTAAAACTTCTGTTGAAGTAGGATAAATTAGGGCCAGGGACACGTTGGAGGACCGCGCCCCCCATGATGCGGGTGCGTCACGCTTGCTTGACTATCTCCTCATCGGGGGTGTTGGTAAGGTGCAGTCATTATGGCGCTTTCAATGGGCTCCCAATGCGTGGATTTTACAAATCAAATCCACTTATAGTGCTGAAGTTCCCCCCGAAGGGGAACGTTCGAGGTTACTAAAGTAACCCTTCGTTCCCCGAGGAGGGGAACGGAAGCACTATACTCCGTCGCCATAATGACTGTCCCTTAGCTGTTGAAAGTCTCTTCAGCTTAAAAAGGATAGCGTCTGCTGGCGCCAGGTGAGCTTATATACTCAGTTGATTGCTTATGCCGCTCACCTGCGCAGGCTTGCGCTGCCAATTCATTCTTAATTGGCCCGTTCAATACTCTTTCAGACGAGTAGCTTCTGAACCGAACCTCCCCAATGCGTGGATTTTACAAATCAAATCCACTTATAGTGCTTCCGTTCCCCTCCTCGGGGAACGAAGGGTTACTTTAGTAACCTCGAACGTTCTTCTAATGTAGAAATTTCTTCATTACTGATTGTTAAAGCTGTTTCAGTAATCAAAGAGGTTTTTGCTGCACAGAACTGCACAATAGGCGTTTGGCGCTGACAAGCAGTACTACACGCGGTGTGTTTGGCAACCCCCCATATGGGAGTCCAGGGCCGTAACACCCATTGTCGCTAACGTTAGCTTAAAAGATTTCCGGCATCAACAGCAATAGGCGTCGCGGTCATTTCCTGGCACAGGCTTAACCCAAACGCAATTCGAATTCCTTGGCCACAGCGACACTTTCCCATTTTAACCGACAAACTGGGCTAGCCACTATCTTGTTCTGTACCTCACTTCAAGTAACCATATGACGGGTGCGCACACTTTCGCGCTTTCTGCTATGACGTGGAGCGTGAGGTGCACTTAACGTTACGCTGCATGAATTTTTAATTAGCCTACATTAGTAACAGTTCATTTTGTTACGGTATGAACTTAATCCTAGGAAAGGCAAAAATAAATGAATAAATTTAAGACCTTTGTAATGAAATTCAAGACTTTATTTACAAAATTCAAGACTATTAAGGCCTTCATTTGAAATTATGAAATTTAAGAGTTTTTCAATGCTTTTAAGACCCCACGGGTACTCTGGACATGGACCTTCAGCATGCAGTGGGACGGTTTGCTGCTAAGTGTGACATGGCAGGAAAAAAAACAGCAGCTCAGAAACCACGGTGCTTGACTGGAAAAAGGTGGCCATCTCCAGTTTGGAGGAGAGTCCTTACCCCAAATAGAGTTCAGGTATCTGCGTTTTTTTTTTCCCATGAGGAATGGAATGTGAGATTCAAAGATGGATCAGTGCAGCAGCAGCAGTAATGCAGTTGATGTCATTGTCGGTTGTGGTTAAGGAGCTGAGATGAAAGGCAATGTTCTCAATTTACCGCTCAGTCTAGGTTCCTACTCTTACCTATGGTCATAACTGAAAGGACAAGATCTCGGATACAACCAGACACATTTTACAAAGTGTTATGACCCGCTTGTTTGAGTTGCAACATAAAAGAGAGATGAGCCAACAAAATAGCTTGAATGCAAATGATTTATTATAAAAGTAACTCATAGAACAATCAATCAAAGGAACCAACAAATGCCTATAGATAATAATAAAGATAAAGAACTTAGGATATAATCACAACAAAACTTTAACTGCATGATATAAGTAATGCAAAACAAAACTATAAGGTTAAAGAGTCAATGAAATGGCAGGTCTTGACATGAGGACTCCCAAGTAGCATCAGCGTCCTGGGGTAGCTAACACAACAACTTTCATATACCCATTGATGAGTAATGCAGGCATTCAATCAGGATTTACCACATACTCCAATCGGAAGTCCTGGGATCATTACAGTGTAGTAATATTGTAAAACTTAATACCTGTCGCTCTGCCTAAATCATAAAATATTCATCAAGTTCGTATTCTACTCAAACAAGTAAATGTAGTAAACTAGAAAAAATCTTAAACATAATAGTAAAGAAACTTTACTAATAAAAGCTGCAACACAGGACAATTAAATGGGCTTTCTAAACTTGAGGCCCTGGTATACTGGAAATACCTTCTTTGGTGTGCGGTATCTTTCCAGTGACTTGTTTCTTATTCAGGGAGCCAGACAGTGAACATCATCTAAAACAACACTAGCTACATGAATACACTGGAGAGTGGAGTACAGATTTATCCGCACCTGTACAATCACTTGCAAAGAGATTTTAAGCAGCAGAGGTGCTGTTTGTCAGATGTTTATGAAACTGTTCTTCACTCAGCTGCCATCATTGTGTTTACGGTAAACACGAGGATCACAGCACATTTACAACCCCACCTACTGCAGTGTAGGAGTGTTGGAACACAGTATACTATCACTCAGCCTTTTGAAACATTATTCAGACATGAAAAATCCTGTGCACATGAGAAAATGTTTTGCTGCATTCATGTCATGTGTGCAACTTTTTGTCCATGTGTTTCTTAAGCTGTGCCGAATGAGTGAAACTCTGTAGACATTGATCAGATCTGTATGGTTTCTCTCCAGTGTGAATTCTCTTTTGTGTTTTCAGATTTGTTAACTGATTAAACCTCTTGTCAGTGTGAACACTTGTGCGGTCTCTCCAGTGTGAATCGTCTCCTGCAGTTTCAATTTGAGCTGTAATAAAAGTCTTCTCACATTTAAAGCACATATACTCGTTCACACCAGTGTGGGTCTTCATGTGTTTATTAAGTTCTGATGAGTTGCTGAAACTCATCCCACATCGAAGCTGCGGTCACTCTAGTGTTTGAGCATGAGAAATTCTGTTGTACAGCGCTGCGAAAAGGAGCGGGATTAAACAAGATGATTAGACATGAATAGTTTCTCTCCAGTGTGGCTCATGATGTGTAGATTAAGGGATGATGATTGGCTGAAACTCTTCCCACACAGAGTCCATGTGAATGGTTTCTCTCCAGTGTGGATTTTTATGTGTTTATTAAGGGATGATGATTGGTTGAAACTCTTCCCACACTGGGTGCATGTGAATGGTTTCTCTCCAGTGTGGATCCTCATGTGTTTATTAAGGTATGTTGATTGGCTGAAACTCTTTCCACACTGAGTACATGTGAATAGTTTCTCTCCAGTGTGGATTTTCATGTGTTTATTAAGGGATGATGATCGGTTGAAACTCCTTCCACACTGAGTGCATGTGAATGGTTTCTCTCCAGTGTGAATCCTCATGTGTAGATTAAGGTATGATGATTGGTTGAAACTCTTCCCACACTGAGTACATGTGAATGGTTTCTCTCCAGTGTGGATTTTCATGTGATTGTTAAGGGATGATGATTGGTTGAAACTCTTCCCACACTGAGTACATGTGAATGGTTTCTCTCCAGTGTGGATTTTTATGTGTTTATTAAGGGATGATGATTGGTTGAAACTCTTCCCACACTGGGTGCATGTGAATGGTTTCTCTCCAGTGTGGATATTCATGTGACTGTTAAGGTGTGATGATTGGTTGAAACTCCTCCCACACTGGGTGCATGTGAATGGTTTCTCTCCAGTGTGGATTTTCATGTGTTTATTAAGGGACGATGATTGGTTGAAACTCTTCTCACACTGGGTGCATGTGAATGGTTTCTCTCCAGTGTGGATCCTCATGTGTTTATTAAGGTATGTTGATTGGCTGAAACTCTTTCCACACTGAGTACATGTGAATGGTTTCTCTCCAGTGTGGATTTTCATGTGATTATTAAGATGTGATGATCGGTTGAAACTCTTCAAACACTGAGTGCATGTGAATGGTTTCTCTCCAGTGTGGATTTTCATGTGTTTATTAATGGATGATGATCGGTTGAAACTCCTTCCACACTGAGTGCATGTGAATGGTTTCTCTCCAGTGTGAATCCTCATGTGTAGATTAAGGTATGATGATTGGTTGAAACTCTTCCCACACTGAGTACATGTGAATGGTTTCTCTCCAGTGTGGATTTTCATGTGATTGTTAAGGGATGATGATTGGTTGAAACTCTTCCCACACTGAGTACATGTGAATGGTTTCTCTCCAGTGTGGATTTTTATGTGATTGTTAAGGGATGATGATTGGTTGAAACTCTTCCCACACTGAGTACATGTGAATGGTTTCTCTCCAGTGTGGATTTTTATGTGTTTATTAAGGGATGATGATCGGTTGAAACTCTTCCCACATTGAGTGCATGTGAATGGTTTCTCTCCAGTGTGGATCATCATGTGAATCTTAAGATAGCCTTTTCTTCCAAAACTCTTTCCACACTGAGTGCAGGTGAAACGATTCTTGTCTCTCCTTTTCAAAATACCATCAGTCTGTAAATGAGTTTTTTTCTCAATTTTGACATGATGTTCCTCCTCTTTTCTCCCCTCATTCTCTTCAATTCGGTCTGAAATAAATAAATAAAACATTAGTTTTCATTAAGTCTTTAAATTTCTCATCAAAAGCTGAAAAGTGAAAAGACACTGGAAACATTGGTTACACTCACTGTAATTTTGATGCACATTAAATGTAAAATAAATCAGATCATATTTTGTTTGGTCCATTAACATGTACCCATTCAAGCAGATTCAGTTCAGCTCTATTTATCTAATGCTTTTACTATGTAATATGTGTCAAAGCCGCTTAACATAGAAGTTATATTATATAGACTCTATGCATGAACTCTGCTGACGTGGTTCTGGTAGAATATCAGTCAGGCTCTTTACGTCTACATAGCGCGCTCTATGCCGAAATCTAATAGCGGTGAAACCTAAACGCATCAGAGGATGGCAAAGAAGAGAGATTTACTCTTAAATTGATGAGGATCCTCTGCCAGTGGATGTCCAGCATCTGGAAAATAATTTTTGTTCAGTTCCAGAACCCATAATAGTTGATTAATACACCAGATCAGGCTGAAAATCTCCATGAAGAGGTGGAGTGACTGAAAGGAGACTGCTTCGATGCTGCTTTTAGTGATGTTATAAGGTTCTAAAGGTACCGTTAAAAAATGATGTACTAGAATTTAACCCAGATGACAGTAGTAACAAGTTGTAATTGTATATTATATTAAATAATATTACGTTTTTAACCATACTATATAGTAAATTCTATTATGTTGTATATATTGTATACATGCATATATACACATACAAACACACACACACCAAATATTCTAGTCTCATGTAATAGGCAAATACCAAACTGAAACAAATGTATCAAGCACAAGTATTTATATGCAAAACCTAATCAAAGTACCCATTGGGTCTTAAAAGCATCTATAAAAGTCTTAAATTTGATAATCTCAAATTAAGGCCTTAATAGCCTTGAATTATTATACAAAGTCTTGGGTTTTGTTACAAAGGTCTTATTTCAATTATTTACATTACCTTTCTTAGAATTAAGTTCATATCATAACAAAATTAACTGTAACTAATGTAAGCTAACTAAAAAATCATGCAGTGTAACGTTGAGTGCACCTCACGCTCCACGTAATAGCAGAAAGCACGAAAGCATGCACACCCGTTACTATGGTTACTTGAGGTGAGGTACAGAACAAGATAGTTGCTAGCCTAGTTTGTCTGTTTGTTTAATCTGCTGTGGCCAAGGAATCCGAATACGTATTGGGTCAATCCTGTGCCAGGAAATAACCGCGACACCTACTGCTGTTGATGTCGAAAATCTTACAAGCTAGCAACAATGGATGTTACAGCCCTGGACTTCCATATAAGGGGTGCCAAACACACCGTATGTAGTACTGCTCATCAGCGCAACCACCTATTGTGGAGTTCTGTGCACTGGAGACCACTTCGGTTACTAAAACACCTTTAGCTATCAGTAATGAGGAAATTTCTACATTAGAAGCATTGCCACCACGCAGTGTTGGGCAGTAGCATCGCTACAAGTAGTGATGCTACTAACGTAAATATATTTTTCAGTAGCGTCACCACTTTCTAAATCAAATAGGTTTTGTGTAGCGAAGCTATTATTTTAGTCAAGTAGTGTCCACACAAGCTATATATACACCGATTGTGGATCAATAAGTGACGGCACTGACACTCACGTAGCTTGGAGGCCGGTGTCTTGGCGATAAAAGTAAATCCATATTTTGGCGAGAATGTGAATTTCTTCTTCCTGTTTTACAATGGTCGACACCAAACTTTTTGAGACTTTTCTGTAGTAAAGGCTAAAGTATACTATGGCAATTTTAGTTCATGATAGTTATTAATAATACTATATTTTGTAGTGTAATTCATTAATGAAGAGTTTTAAATATATATACAATATAATGCTTATTGCAAAGTATTTCCCTTTACTATAAATAACTAAGGGTGCAATGATACGTGTATTCGTATTGAACCGTTTGGTACGAGACTTTCAGTTCGGTAAGTATTACAAACCGAATGATTCAGACATCTCAAATGACATGACAGTCAGACCATGTGCTGCACTAGACCTTTTTCTTGGCAGCTACATGGAGGGTGCCATAGCAACCAGCGTCTTCAGGTAGTTTAGAACTTTCATTTACAGCTTTTACAACTGGTAATTTGCGCTCCGAAAATGGGTTTCAATAGCGTTTTGCGTGGATTACGGAGTGTTTTTTGTGATACACAACTTTGAAAAGTATGAGTTAAAGCCGTTGAAATGTGTCAGATGTGGTTCAAGCATGAGAGAAAAATGTTCTCCTAGTTCACGTGTCTGCCGTCAGAAATACAGTGTGTGTGTGTGTGTGTGTGTGTGTTTGTTTCCCTGGCCTGTCAGCTCAGCAGGTCTTCAACACACAAACACACACACGCAATACTTTACGGCATTATAGAGCAAACCAGATTACTGGCATGTAACTTAACAGGTAATGTTATGCGAGTTGTGCAATTCACAAAAATGACCAATAAAAGTCTGTTATTGATACTCTGCTGGCTGATTTGCTGTTCATTCTAATCGTGAGCCGTTTGTTTCATTTAGTGTGTTGTATATACCACTGTGTATGTTTTTCTATCATTTCAAAATGTAACTTTATTTTCACTTTTTCACAGTAGGTAAATCAGTGTCAGTGGGACAATACAGTAGGTTATGTGTGTGTGTCAAACATTTTGGTGAATTACATGTGTTTGGGTTGGTTATATATTTGAAGGAAAGAGACAATGTTGACTAGCGATGACGAGACTCAGCAGCTTTTTTCCATCCCATTAGATCACATTTTTAAAATGATCAGTCCAGGAGGTGGCGCTAATCGACAACAGGATTAGTTCAAAGATGATAGAAGCAGTTAAAACAGATTAAAACTATCGTTTCAATGCTGTCCAAATGTGACTGTTTACGCATTACGCATCAGCTGCTGACCGTAAGTTCTTAGCATTCTCCTTGTGCATACACGCAAAGCATAATGGGTAATTTTGCATTCTAAGAAAAAGGTCTATAACCAACAGCAGGTCTGGCTTTTGGGAGCACTTTGGTTTCCCTGCAAGTTATGAGGGTGATGGCAAGAGAGTGGTGGAAAAAACAATGACATCTACTATGTAAGCTATTTTAGCGGTGATATTTGAGCATGTCAACTCATTTACACTGACATCACGAAAACTGGAAACACACGCACTACATGCAACTATCCCCGCAGCATTCACAGGCAATTCCTACAGATTCGAACAGGGCAAAACAAATCAGAGGCGATCGGTACATTTATAGCTGTGGATATGAGACCTTAATCGGTAGTGGAAATGTCGAGTTTTTAAAAAATGTTAAATGTAATAGAACCCAGCTACATTATTCCTTTATAAGCCCATTTCAGTCAGATAATTCCTGCTTTCAGATCCACTAAAATGGCAGGTGACAGTCAAATCAAGCAGATCTGTGCTGTCTGAAGAAAAGGTGGACACTCATGTTTCTGAAAATCTTTCTTTTTATTTGTTTAACTACTACAATATTAAATTTATTTTTTTAAAGTAGCTTTCTAGTTTTGAGTATAAAGGATTTGTTTAATTTGCTGCTAAGCAAAAATCCCAGAAGTATAGCCGTATCACTGTTTAAACACTGAAAAAAATTATTCAAAGATGATTCCTTGTATTTACTCTTTTTTTTTTTTTTTTTTACATGAAGTGGTTGTAAACAATTTATGTGGGCTGAATTTAAACTAACAAATTAAGATGAACACTTTTTTTCAGTGAAGTAAAAGAATAAAAAACAAGATCATACGTTTTAATACATAAAAAAATTTAAATCAAAGAAATCCTGTTGTTGTTTTTTTTTGCTGTATTAAAAACATGCCGAACCGTGACACCACTGTGTCGTATGGAACCGAACTGTGATTTGTTTGTGAACAGTTAAACCCCTATAAATGACTGTAGTATTTTCATTGTGTAACACCTGATTTTATTGGATTTTTTATTTATTTTAGCTGTTATATACTATTATTTGTTCCTGTTTATTACAGCATATTATTTACAGTAAATAACTAAACTGAACTATGTTTCATTGACAGTTTTATTGATCACTAAGATATAATTGACTTGGATTTAATTTGCTTCGATTTAAAAATGAAAATTGCAAAAATATCCTAGTAGCTAATAGCTTAGCTCACTACATTTTTCAAGTAGCTTGCCCAACACCCTACATCCTATCTTACCATGGCTCAACACCAACTCTGCAGGCAGATGTGATGTGGGTCCTTAAAACAATCTCCTGAGCATCACTCTAAAGGCTCGTACACACCGGGACGCTTTTTGTTTGCGTTTATCGTCAGCGTTTTATGAGACGTTTTTCCGTATTCAAACCCAATCGATTTTTACTGGCGTCAAGCAGAAGAGTATGCAAAATCATTCCTTGATGTTAGATGAACATTGAACTTAATTTGAAAAGGTATTAAAAAGGTCTTTAAAAGCCTTGAATTTCATTTGGAGGATCCTGGGGGTACCCTGCTAATGCATTTCTTTCTGATTTATACATCTACACCCTACAACATCCAGAGTAACGTGTCCAGAGTAAGAGCAACTGTGAGGGAGACGCCATCCATCACAAGGCTCAGGGTTCACGCTGAGCATCTCATCTGCAGGGTGAATCAACAAGCAGGACAGTCATCATCTCTTTCTATTACAGCAAGCATCAACTAGATTTACACAATAGCTTGCCTTGTGCCCATCAGTAAAAGCTTGAGCTAAAGCTTAAAGAGTAGATGATGAAGCTAAATTTGTTCATTAAAAAAATTATATAAACACAAACTAAACATAATGCAAAAATATAAATTTGT